ACAGTGGTGTGCACCTGGACTGCGGCGCGCCCCGGCTCAGCCGCCCGCCGGCCCCGCCACCCGGCGACCTGCAGTACAGCTTCTTCTCTTCACCCACCCTGGCCAACAGCATCCGCAGCCCGCGGGCGCGCCCGCTGGCCAAGTCTGAGCGGCCCGGCCACCCCCTGTACGAGCCTGAGCCTGAGCCCAGGGATAGCCCCCAGTCTGGCCGAGGCCACAGCCCCGGAGCCACTGCCACGGCCACCGGTCTGCCCCCGGAGCCTGAGCCCGACGGCCCCGATTACTCAGAGCTGGCCGAGGCCGACATCCTCAGCGAGCTGGCCTCCCTCACCTGCCCTGAGGCCCAGCTGCCCCTCGAGCCCCCATCGCCTGAGCCAGAGCCTCAGCTCCTGGGCCCCCAGCCCCGCTTCCTGGACCCGCAGACGCTAGAGCCCCTCGGGGAGGGTCTGGAGCTTCCGCCCCTGCAGCCTCTGGCCGACCCTCTGGGGCTGCCGGGCCTAGCACTGCAGGCCCTAGACACTCTGCCCGACGCCCTGGAGTCCCAGCTGCTCGACCCCCAGGCCCTTGACCCTCTGCCCAAGCTGCTCGATGTCCCGGGTCGCCGTCCCGAACCCCAGCAGCCCCTGGGGCACTGCCCACTGACCGAGACTCTGCGCCTGGACTTATGCTCGCCCCATGGCCCCCCTGGGCCTGAGGGTCATCCCAAGTATGCCCTGCGGCGCACTGACCGGCCGAAGATCCTGTGTCGCCGTCGGAAAGCTGGACGGGGGCGCAAGGCAGATGCTGGACCTGAGGGCCGCCTGCTGCCCCTGCCTGCCTGTGGGGCTGGCGGCTGCCCTGGCCGAGCCCCCACCGCCTCCGCCACCACCCCCTCCTGCCCTGCCAGGCCCAGGGCCAGCTCCAGAGCTGGAACCCGAACCACCTCAGACCCCTGGGCTCCCCACCCGCAAAGGCAAGTGCCGGGGCGTGCGGCGCATGGTGGTGAAGATGGCCAAGATCCCCGTGTCCCTGGGGCGGCGGAACAAGACCACGTACAAGGTGTCGTCCCTGAGCAGCAGCCTGAGCGTGGAGGGCAAGGAGCTGGGCCTGCGCGTGTCCGCCGAGCCCACCCCTCTGCTGAAGATGAAGAACAACGGGCGCAACGTGGTGGTGGTCTTCCCGCCCGGCGAGATGCCCATCATCCTGAAGCGGAAGCGCGGCCGCCCCCCCAAGAACCTGCTGCTCGGGTCCGGCAAGCCCAAGGAGCCCGTGGTGGTGGCAGGCGAGGCTGCCGCCCGGGGGCGGCGCCCCCCGCC